ATTACAATATGTGGAGGAGGAAAATGAATTGGTCAAGCAGCAGGAGAAGACCCTCAAGTCGGAAATCGCCTTGCTGCGCTCCAAATTGGCCAACTGTGAGACAGAGCTGCTGCAGTGTAAGAACAAAATGCGCCTGCTGATGGATGACATAGAGCTGGAGCAGCAACAGCAGCAGCAGAACAATCGGTGAGTACATGGATGGGTCCTTTATTCGTATTTGTCATCTAACATTTGCATTTGTGGCGGCTAGGCAAACGGTGGAGCGTGATTTCCTGATGGAAATGGAACGGATACAGAGCGAAATTGATCAGGCATTGCACAACACAGACACCTCGAACAAGACGGCGGATAACCTGAAGAAGGAGCTGCTGATGATCGAGCATGCCATTGCCGAGAAAAAGCGGCAGGTGGAGCAGCTGGTCAACGAGATGAAGGAGGTGAATCTGCAGAGTCTGACGACTTTGACCACCACAGAGGAGATCAAACATCTGCTCGAGGGACAAGCCAACAAGCAGGGCAGCAGTCGTCGAATCATTGGCTCCCCGCGGCAGCTGGAAACGGCAGTACCGACTAGTAAAAATCCGCACGGCGTTTGGGTCTGAAGCACCACAGCACAGCAGCAGCAGCACACATCGAAACATACATATTTTTCTAAGCGTTTTTTCAACAACAACAATGTTTTCTGGGAACAAACAATTGACGGACAGGACATATCTTGAATGCATAATGGAGTTGAGAGAGCACAACGCTTCCATATGGATATCACAATTATACACCATATTCTATACAAATTTACAATGATCCATCCGCGTGCTTGGAAGTCATTGCTTTAGCTAATTAACTTTCCGAAATAACACTTGATGGATCTCTCAAAGCAATGATTATAATTATTGTTACAACTTTACAACACACACAAAATATCTGCACAAAGTTCTGTGTACTATGTTTAATCTACATTCCAATTATTTTAGTTTCGTGTGCTATACTTTTGATTAGTTTTTGTTGCTAGTCTGAAAACCCCTTCCAATCTCCAACAAAACAAAACGCCGCCATTAGTTGTTAATTTTACAAATACGAACATTAATTGTTGCAATAATTCGAAACGCCTTTTTACCATTTAAGTAGTGCACTTAGTGATTCGCTTATGGTTGGATTAATGGATTCACAAATTAAATTACACAAAAATCTATTGTACTTAAGCATTTAGCGCAGCTTTAGCAAAAAAAAAAACCCAATTACAAATTAGCAATGCTTTGTTGAACGTATCACTTCTAAAGTGCTTAGCCTTAGCCACCGGTTGGGATCTCTACGCGTATGTGGGATCTTACACTTGAGCAATTGCAAAAAGGTGTTAGACATTAGTATATGGAAACATATTTTGTAGCTTCCTATGTGTATTATGTTTTTAGTTTGTTTTTAATTAGCAATATTTAATAATTACACAAGATTTATAGACACAACACAAAAACCACAAAAAACAACAACAGCAATGCAATTTAATTATTAATACACATTACTATTAACTTTAAACAAACGATTTAGAACAAATTCTAATTGCATTATATCTAAATAGCTAATAAACACATCTTTTATTATTTTTTATTTCTTTAAAACTCGAAAAATACCATTGTTTTTTATTCAATTTATGGGTGAGGAAAAAGTTTGATTTCAATGCTGATATCTTTAGTTACAGGACTATGCATATGTGTATCTATTCTTCTGAGAGTAAGGTTTTCATTGCACAAATAGTAATGCCAATTCATGTTGCCCGGGCTACAATGTGCTATTTTGACATCCACAAGATACCGTTGATGAAGTGGCCGGCAATGAGGCCGGACTTAAATCCAATTGAGGATCTATGGGGCATACTTGCATGAAAAGCTTATGTAAATATAGGAACCTAATTCATCCATACGTTAGTTTTTAAGATACCTTTCACATTTTCTTATATCTTTATGATTTTTTAGCACTGAAATCTCTTAGAAGGTACAAAATTCTACTGGATTCGCTAAGTATTATTGAAAGAGCAGAACTGGAATAAGCGCAGAACATATATTGGGGTTTAATATACCACATTTAATACATGGTATACGAATTTTTAGGAACGTATCCGTATCGTGTTTCCTTACTTAATAGTCTTTGCCGCTTTCTAGGCAAACATTTGGAATACATAAACTTTTTCAGATAAAACATATCTTTTAATTTACGAGAACGTCTGCAGTTAGATTAAAAATTGAAAGAAAAATAAAAGCGTTCAACTTGTTCCCCAGTGGGGTTTGAACCAGTTACTCCCTACACTGGAAAGGCTCCGGCAAAAGCCGCAGGAACCGAACGGACTCCGCCACGCCGGGTCTGCCGAACTCTGAAGGAACCACCCGAAGCGAAGACTGCGCTGCTGCTGCTCTGCTGCTTCACTGCCGCTGTGTCTGCTGCTGCTGCTCTGGAAGAGCAAAATATAATCAGCAACAAATGCTGTTGCCAGCTTCAGTTGGCCAATGTGCGTTGACGTGTTTGGTCCTGTTCGTTCTGAGCTTTATTCTGAAGGCAAAACGCGCGCGGTTTGTAAACGGTTTTGAAACCAAGTGTTGCCTACTTTTGCGGGCTGTGAAAGTGATGCGAAGGAGAGAAAGCTGAAAAGGGGAATTTGAATGGTCGGTTGGCGGTGTGTCCTATCGCGTTTTCACAATCTTCAGAAGTGGTCAAGGGAGCCTTAAGTGGCCAAGGCACAAGACATCAAGTGAGAAGCAGGAGACTGAACGGACATTTTTATGACACTTTTCCACACCAAATGTTGTTCAATTGCGACGATTGAGATAATGAGAGTCCTGTTTGTCCTTTGCCTGTTCCTTCTGTTCTGGGGGATCATGCATGAGCCCATGCGATGACCTTTTGCGGAAATTATGATTTGTCTACGGCTGACCTTCAGCTTGACGTTCGATTCTGACCCGTGCCCGAACCCTCAACGATGCGAAAACAATTTCGCCGCTGACCCCAGTGGCCCCCAAGTATTAAGCGAAATTTAATCAGCCGCACAAGAAATGTTTCAGAAAAAAAGGCCTGCCTCTCCACAAAACGTTGGTCACATATTGCACTTCCATTTAGTAGTACATTTGGCAATTTTATAACCTCGGCTGCCCTAATGGATTGCATAAATTAAGGGCATAAAATCGGCTACTTAAAAGGGAACAAGGAACAAAAGTCTAAACAGAAGCACATGGCATTCCCTTGAAGCTGAAATCATTCATTTCATTTTGACAGACTCAGCAGGGAAAATAAAAATCGCTTTGTTTTATGACCTTTTCCTGGCCCCCTTCTTACTTTTTTGCCTTTAAGTTTTTGCAGTTTCCTGCTGTTTTGCAAGTAGATAGTTTTTGGTTTGACAAAAGGAGATAGATCAATCTGTTTTCCTGGTTACTTTGAATACTGTTGATGTTGAATGCTGAATAAAGGATTTTAAATGCATTAACTGGAAGGTTTTAAATTGAATGTGCCTTCTAACCGAAGATGTTAAAGTGTATTAGTTCAATTTGTTGTGGCTTAAATTCTTTTACAAACACAATTCCCAGCAATACCTACCTTGCACAAATTTGTTTTATCCCCATCGTTGAATTTACTTAGCATAAAAACACTAAAAGCACTGAGTCTTCACCCCAGAGGCCTTTTTGTGCATTCATTCCATAAGTCCTGCTGACTGTCAAAAGCTTTGCTACCGAAACCCCTGCTGAGCCTGTCAAATCCTTTGATAATCCTAGCTTTAAAACTTAAACTCTGAAACATAAGCTCACTACATAAATTGTGCGAAATTATCCTGAGATGCTATACAAATAACACACAAAATAAATTCCATTGGAAAATCAAATGAATCTATAAGGTATTTAAGTCCTTAATACATCTAGAAGGAATTCACTTTTGACAGTACTATTTAGAGAAGAGGTACATTTTTTGATTAGTTTGTTATTCTTCTGACTATTTATGTCTCACAAGATTTCAAATATGTTAAATCAAAGAAGAAACAACATTCAAAAAAATTTAAGAAATGTCGGAAAGCTTCAGTTATAGCCATTGTATCGACACGAGTAACGAAATCCTATGAAAGGTCATACAATTCTCTTTTAATGCAGAGTTAGCAATGTCACCAAATCACGGTTTTTAAATTTTCAAAGACATTTTTGGGGTTATATTGAAGATTCTAAGTATGAGGATGGGATCTACTCGTCCAGGTCTACAATTAAATTTGTATCTCGTGTAAATTTTATTCAAAAGATATTATTTTGTCGCGCAGTGTAAGAAGTTCGCATTAGTAAGAAGAAACTTTCCGTAACCACGTTCCTTCAAAGATAATTAAATCCGTCAATAAGTATGACAAGCAGTGTATTTTTCAATTAATTTCATCTGCAAGTAAATTATGTCCTTGTATAAAAATTAAACTGACATACTAATCCTCTGCACATCCTCCCTCCGTTTGATAGAAACTTTCTTACGGGTTATTAATTTCCGGTGCATCATTTTTGCTGCACATCAGATCCACGGGAATCGGAACCCATCAAGTGGAAAGCCATTGCCATACAAAATATTAATTTTGAATTTTATTCCCCCCCACCTCTGGCTCCTTTCGCTCCATCTGCTGTGTAATCCTGGCACTTAAAACTCGCTTCTCCGTTTCTTTTTCGTTTCAACGAAGCGCGGGGAACATTAGCCAAATGAAGTGACAAGAAATTAACGAAGAAAAAACGCGGAGCGATATAAGAAATAATAATATAAAAACTCAATGAGTCAGCACCACAGAGTTGTTGTTTGTGGTTCAGTGTATGAATGTATGGGGGCGTGGTCGGAGTGGGAATAGGGGCGCTGTGAATGATGAACTCGGTCAAGGAGGAGTCCGTCCAGCCCGTCCAGCCCGTCCAGCCCGTCCTGCCCGTCCTGCCACGCTGGCCCACTAATTAGATAAGCGCGCATCGAAAACACACAGCGCAGGAAAACCCATCTAGGACCCATCCAAAATGGTTTATGGAAGGAGCATCGCTGTGGGCGTCTGCCTGATGACCGTCGTCATGTTGCTCTCCGCCCTGATATTCTACTTGAGTCTGGGTAAGCGATCTATAACTACATATTTGCAATCTATCAACGCACCATACAGAAGGGGGGTGGACAAACAAAAACGAGAATCAAATTCTAAACTGCAAAATGCCCATAAATTTTATGCTCAAAAGTATTTGAAAGTAATTTGTTGTGTAATACGATAAAAACGTAACAACAAAACCACTCAGTGGGGAGTGGGAAAAACCCAGACGCCTGACCATAAAAAAATAAATACACAACACAAAGTTTGCTCTTGAGCACAAAACAATTTTCCAACGGACAGGGAACGCTCACATAAGAGGGAAATATGTAATTAAATCAAAAGGATTTACATGGAGAAATGCTAAAGAAAGACATTTTTTTAAAGCAATGAATTATATATTTCTTTATAGCCATGAGCAGATCTTTGAGCAAATTACGAGTAAAATTATCTATAAAATTTTAGAGGTACACATGGACTGGCAAGGAAGAAGGTAACGTTTTGATTTGACGATGGTTCTGTTTCTGAATTCAAGAAGCAGGTCATGGTAGATGTTTAAGGAGTTTAAAATCAGATGAAAACATATCCATTTGGATGTGGTTACGTTTTCCTACCAATTGGTTCACGCTCCCAAGTCTCCACTGTATATAAATTCCTTAGCACCGACTCCCTTCACCCTCTGCTGGCTCTTGTTCGGAGTCCTGGTCCTGGTTCCTTGTTCCATGCCTTTATCTTGTTTTACGAGTATCAATATCAATATCATGGAATTTTCTCTGCGTTTTGCTTCGGCTCTCAATATTATATTTTTTATGCCAATTTGCGTATTGATTTGCCATACAAGAAACGAGGAAATAGGCAAAACATTCTTGATTTATGCCACTTTGTCGCCTCGAATCCCAAGTACATGCATCATTCCAGCCAGAGCAAGAAATTATTTATCTCCCGAAGGCATTTGTCCGGCTTAGGTTTAAATCTGCCCGAGAATAGAAGGAAGTTGCCGGAGGCACTAAGATGCATGCTAAAGTGTGTCTCCATCTGGGCCATGAATGGACATGAAAGTCTCTCCTAGTGCTCAAGGTCTGTGGGAATGCTCCTTCTTGGGTACTAATGAAGTCAGAAATTTATAGATGTAGAAGGAAAAGAAATATGGTTCATAGAGCGAAATTTATTTCCAACAAATGGAAATGTAAAAATAGTTTTTGGAAAAAGTTTATCGATGGGTAGACATTAGTCATTTTGAATGAGTGACTTTTCCTGAATGACTTCTTCTCAGAATCAGCAATCGCTTCTTACTGCATTTATTACTTAGTCTAATGATAGCTTAACGAATAGATTCGAATGGTGCTTAAATTTACATATCTGGAGAACTCTTTACACAAAACAAGACAAGAACTGGGAGAATTTCTTGCAGTATCTAACGTATCTATCTATCTAAAGTAAAGTATCTATCTAAATTTGACGAAATTTGTCCTATAAAAGGTTTAGAATGTGGAGGATTTAATCTGTCCTGTTAAATATACAATTTTGATCTTCTTGCTTAACATTTCTTCCTTCCTTATTTGAAGTCTATAAAATTAACAATATACAAATTCAGGATATAAACACCTCTGAACGGACTGCTGTTGTCGGATCATGTATTACTTTTCTTTGCAAAGGAAACCCCATTTTATTTTCAATAGAAGCTGTCTTGATGAACTCTTTAGACTATTGTTTGCTTTATAAATGCCATACATTTTTCTAAGGATACTAGGAAATAAGGGAAATCACTTTCTAGGGGTGGCCTCCTGTTCTGCTCTTCTGCCTGGTGTACTCGAAAACAACTAAAAAAGAATATGCTTTCCAACCATTTTATTACGCAAGTTCATATCATATGGATTAACGGGTCCCAAGGTGCTCCGTATCCACGTTTTTTTGTCATTTGTCTAATGAATGCGTGCTCCATAATCGCGGGACTTTAATTGCCTGAATACTCAGGCGGTCGACGCCAGTGGAGACGCGACACCCAGACAAATCATAAAATTGATAAAGTGAAAAACAAAATTGACATTTTATTTGATGGCAATTGCCGAAAGAAGCTGGCACTAGTCAGCCAGAAAAAGTCTCAGCTCAGGATAAACTAAGTCTAAGAGTAAGCCGTACATAAATCTACAAAAACTTATACTTTGAATTGCTTTTGGAGGAAACTCTGGCCCTGCACCATTGTTTGTGCAACTTTTGAGGATAAATTAATTCGTATGGCTTATTAATTTCTTTGAAGCAAACAATCATTCGAATTATGTACTGCCAATGCCTAACCGCCCAAAAAAAAGAAAATAACATATTGTTAACAAAGCAAAGCAACCCAAAAAAAAAAAATAAATAAATAAGAAAGAACAACAAGCAAAACTTTCTTTGGACATTAAGTTTAATTGCTTTGGCCTGAAATCCGAAATCCTTTGTTGGATGGGCAGATGGGGGGCGGCATTAAGTTGTCATCTCCAGTTTAAAGTTTGCCTGCCAGCGATTAGAATAATTACTTATACGCCGCGTAGGGTGCATGATAAGCTGCTGAAACAATAAGAACGTTGGGTATAGTAGGGTATGCTGCTTAAGGGACGCCCTCTGAAAAAGTTGCTGTACTTCTTAGAAGAGGTTCTATGTATTGGAATCTACACTCACAAGCAAATGGCACAGTAAAAGAAAAGAAACTCGTATTCAACGAAATATATCGATTTTAAATTCAAAAAGAAATTCAGAAAGAAATTAAATAGAATGCACTATTTGTAATACTGCCCATATTTAATCGAAATATAAATAACATTTGCGTGGGTCGCGAGCGCTCGTTCGTACGATGTTAAATATACGAAAAAGGTAGAAAACAACCATTTTCCCCACCTTTTTTAGAATTTTGATGGAATTTTGTTAGTTTAGTTGTTTAGTACAAAAGATAATAATGATAGCAATAAACACGAAGTCGCGAACGTACGCAATATAGAAATCGACTTTGGCTTAATCTAGTAAAATGCGACAATCTGCCAAAAGGATTGGAATATTCTAAAGCTATTAATTTATTTAAGAAGAAAATTAATGTAGGTTTCTTTTGAGTATTTACAAAGTATTTATATCTCTTTAAGCATTTTTTAGGTTTGAATTAATGGAACCGGTACCGCTTATTTTTCCATATGTTCTTTACTTTATCACCTCACGTTTTTCCATTAGTAGGCTCTTTAGAGAGGCTCTTTTTGAGGAACAACTTTTATCAAGAATAACTATAAGAATTACTATAAAATATAATTACTTTTGTGTAAATAAAATAGTTTCTGTGCTATTGTCTTTGGGTGTTTAAAAACATGAACAGCGGGATTCTGTAAATAATTTCTGTGTAAATACCAAAAATATTATTTAATTGTGATCTTGAATAACTTAAACAAAACTAATCAGAATCGACTTATCTTTCGAGTATTAATTATTGTGTATATTTTCGTGTTGTTGGCAGGACCCTGCCCCTCGGGCAGCTTCGCCTGCGACAATGGCACCCTCTGCGTTCCCCAGCGTCAGATGTGCGATAACCGGCCCGACTGTGCCGATGGCAGCGATGAGCATCCTGTGGAGTGTGGCCTGCTCTACGGCAGCAAGGAGATTGCCGATAAAATTGTGCGTAGTGCTATTGAAAAGAAACAGCAACAGCAGCTACAACTACAGCAACAGAATCAGTCGAATGCGAGCACCGTGGATGCGTCTCCGCCAGCGGTGACAAGGAATCAGAGCCAGACAATGAACTGGACTTGTGGTAGGTGGACGATTCATTTCATTCATTTAGCCAAAGCATCAATCAACTCCATCCACCAGATTAATCCAGAGTGACCGATTAGCCAAGGCATCAATCTAGTGCAACCGATTGTTAGGACAGTAAAAACTTGAGTTTTTCTACAATTCAATTCGAAACTATAATTAAAATTGATTCTAATTCATACCATTAACACTCAAACACTTTTAATCAGATATCCCAAAACTTTAATGTTGTAAAAAAGTACACAATACTTAAGGTGTTCTATGTCCTTAAAACACTTACTCGATGGACTATATTTTTGACTCTGAATCTGTAATACATCTTCTGTTCTATTCTCTACTTCTCTTCCCTCCCGTCAGGTATCGTCACATATCCGCGGAGCTGCCGGTGTGGCCAGGGCACCACCCTCTATTGCGGCATCTATGCTAAGCTGCGTCGCTGGCCGCGCATCAGTGTGGAGGTGACCAATCTGATCATCATCCGCAACAACCTTACCCTAAGGGAACATGTCTTTGCCAATCTGACGCGTCTTCAAAAATTGTAAGCTGAAAAATCACTCACAATGGACTGTAACCGCTTTCATTTAGACCATTTGCAGAACCCTTAAGTTCAACAACATATCACGAGTACCCCTGGGCAGCTTTGGTGGGTTGTCGCAACTGGAACGCCTCGAGTTAAGTCACAACAATATCAGTCATCTCCCACACGGCCTCTTCGGTGACCTGCACTCCCTCCAGTGGCTCTTCCTGGTCAACAACCATCTGCACCATTTTCCCATGGAGCAACTGAAGTCCGTCCACCGCCTAGAATGGCTCGTCCTCAGCCGGAATCGTCTCACTTTGCGCAATGTGCAGTTGCCGAATATTTCCTCGCTTTACGAAGTGTAAGTAAATCGAATTGGGTTATGGGAGGGCTATTCTATTTCTAAGATTAAAAAACACAAACGAAAGCAGTCTCCGGCTTGGTCTGGTCTCCCACTCTGTTGATCTATTCAAGCGTGAAATGCTTTACACTGTCTGCCATTGTTAAGCGACGGGCAGACACCCCACTCATTGGGTTACTCGGGTATTGGGTGTCGAGAGTCGAGAGTCGAGAGTCCGGCTCCATGATGGGCCATAAGCTCAAATGCTCTTGAGGACTGGGACAATGCTGTCAAAGTTGTTGCACTTGTTTAGATTTGTAAGTGTGCTTTTGGTATCTTTTAGTTGAGATTGTCTTAGAATTTGAAGTTCTGTTCGTTTATGTATTCGAATTTGTTTAAACAGCAGACGGAAAGAAGCATTTCCACGACTCTAGTCAGTAGCCGAAATTTAGTTGAACATCAACAATGATTATCTTTCATCTGACTAGCTAAAGCATTCATCACTTATTCACACGAGCATGGCGACGAGTCTCAAAGGGGTCTTACGCAGAGCTTAAACAGTTTGTTCCACCATTGATAAATATGTATTTACTATTTCAGCTATTTGGATTACAATCGAATTGAATACGTTGGCGAGGAAACTTTTTCGCAACTGGATCATTTACATTTGCTGTAAGTAAAATAAACTCCTCCGTATTCCTACTCCCGAATCCCGAATCGAATTCTGAACCTTAGAGATGGGAAAGAGGAGTAAAAGATGCCAGAAGTGTCGAACAGTCTATTGAAATATGTTGTACTTAGATTTTATGGGGCGTATGCGTAATTTTTACCCTTCGCTGCATTTTGCTTTCGTTTTCAGTTCAGCCTCAACAGAGTTTTTGTTTCATTTTCTTTATTTTTCTTTTGAGATAGATTTATATGGGTCATATCGGCCATACAGGGAAGGAGCGATGGAGATACATGTTGACATGACATTGAGCAGGATATTGGATGTACACGACGCGCCTCCTTTTTTTACCGAGAAATTTATGCACCAATAGGCATAAATTGGCACTTTTATTGTTTACACAAATAACATATGCTAAGCAAATAAGTGTTTAAACGAAATTTTCCACAGACACCACCGACACCGACACAGACACAGACACCTTAGACAATTTGAAAGCATTTATCAAAGGTCTCTCCACAGGTCTCTGGCAGAACCCCTGCCAGGACTCTGCATCTGCCTGCCCGCCGTAGCATACATAATCATTAATTTATGCTTCAATAGCTGACAAGATACGTCAATGGGTCGTCTGGGTGCCCGGCCTAACTCCTATCCTGACTGAAAATAAATCAGTTAGCCAAATTGCCCAACGTAAATAAATGTGTTAACCTTTGCAGAAAGCGTGAGCAGAGGAGAGGCATAAAGATTTAGATGGGGGATAAATTGTGTCGCAATATCATCATACAAATGTGTCAGCAATTCAGCTGAAAGTCTGAAAAGCAAAACGACAGCAGAGTTTTCGGGAATCATGTGAAATACAAAACGAGTGCTTCAAAACCGCTGCAATCATGGATTCCCACTAATCAGATATTACTATTCAAACAGAATTAAGGATTTTGCTCCAATCATTTATCAAATAAGTCATAAACTTTGCGGTGATATCTGACATTTCACATCCCCCTTGGGGAGGATGACGCCGTCAATGTACATTGGTGGAAGATGTAATCTCCTTTCATGGAAACAAATATTCATAGGAGAGGACAGACATATATTATGTTTTAAGTTCATTCGATCAGTATATGAATTTTCGCTAATTTTTGCTCATTTAATTTATGTTCTCTCTATTTTCGGGCAATTAAAAAACTCTTTTGAATTATTTCCATGGAATTCCCAGGGACCTACAGCACAACATCATCAGCCACATCCATGGACGGGCGTTTGCGAATCTGGAAAATATTCGGGATATGTGAGTATGAGTATAAATTCCAGAGGATGGCATTTTGAAGTGGGGGAGGGGATGGCAAGGGTGAAAGTTTAACACCGACACTAAGCATGAATTATGGTGACGCAGAGCTAATTAGCATAATAATACGAATAATGCCACGACACAAGCAAATGAACTCGTGCCTTGGTCAAAGGATCACAGAATCACAGCCGAACAAAGCCGCAGGACGCGACACCACAAATGTCCCCAAAGTAAATTGTAATTTTGCGTGGGACTTCAACCGTTCGAGCCCCTTCCCCTTGTTTGTCACTCGCTTTGTGATTCAAAATCATATTCAATGATATTAATTTTGAGTTCATTAATGCGCAATTACGTATACGCCGGGGTCTCCTCTCTTCTCCACTCCGCTCATGAGAAATTTCAGTTGAAAACTTTTGTGCCCACAGACAAATAAATAATAATAAGAAAAACAAACTTAAGACAGGGAAAACTATCCAGCTAAAGATTTCCCTCTAGCTCATCGATAAGAGATATATTTTAATGAACAGAACTCCACCACGCCCGCCACATAAAAAAGTTGTACCCCCTTCGGGGAAACTAATCTAACCTTTATGGCCATAGTTTATTACTATGAAAATTATATGCAACTCTCTAAAGAAAGTGGGTGGTACGTACGAGTATCTATAAACATAAATCGTAAAAATAAACAAATTGTTTAGCGCTTTGAGGAAGGACTTTGATGAGCCTCAGACAGCATGGCGTATGCCCGATAATATTCTTGGGGAAAAAACATACTCAACCATTAAAGTTATCCTTTAAGGATTTGTTGGGCTTTCACTTTGAATTCAAACATTTTTTATGGGAGGGCAATGTTGCTTTCTGGCTTTCATAACCCCATATATCAATAGTATATTCAATAAATGTCTCTGCCAGCTCTGTCTTTCTCGTCTAGCATCAAGCTGTGGCCTTAATAAATTTACCATCCCATATATAGCAGATACATCAGCATATCAAGGAAGATAGCACCCCACACACCCTCTCATAAATACCCAGACATGGATACAAGCACAGCCATGAGGTTGCTCTGGCTGGACCAGATTTCATTTGGTTTAAGTGAAAAGTATCTTTGGCGATTTTTGTATCTTTTGGGACTGACTTCTGGCCACGAAACAGAATAAACAAACATTATTATGACCAAATAAAAATGCAAATAAATTTGTATTTTATGAGAAAACAATTTCGCCAAAGCCTGGGCTGTAGCCGAAACGAACGGACAGACTCTCGGACCGAAGTTGCTGGCCAATAATGAAGGAGTTTATTGAAATCGACGCTGGTCCGAATCGTTCCCCCAATCGTCATTGCTTCATTAGACCCTATCCCAATGCTTTCCCACAGTTCTGTATCCTTTATGCCTGTTGATGCCATACCAAGATCTATCCCCACACCGTATCCATGCAAATAATTTTGCCCTTTGCCGGCGTGCGAGGAATTTCCCAGCATTCCTGGTTCCAGCTCTTGTGTGGCGCACAAGTGTAAGACTTTTATGGCCAGCAGCAAAAAGGAACTGCACAGAAATTCCTCCAATGCCAACGGAGAGTGTTTTGGTGTGTGGGTGTGTATTTGTATCTATCAGATACCCATCTAAATGCTGCTCATGTATCCAGCAGTAAGGCCTCGCTTCCTTCTCTTTGGCATTTTCTGCTGATTTGTTTTGTTTGCTATGTATCCCCCTGGGATGTACATGGACCGATAGGAGAGGAGGTGGGGCAGCCATAAAACAAACGAAAATATTTGTGAAATCGCTGCACTAATTTGATTCCTGCTGTCCAGGACACTGAGCCAGTGACAGGTCATTATGGAGGAGAGCCTTGGACATTGGGCATCGGGCTTAAAGACATTCTTCCACTCGTGCACTCATTGTCCTGCCAAAGCTGCTGTTGCTCTGACGTTAATTATGGTCAATATAAGCCCCACCCTTTGCCACTCCCTTCTCCAGCTCCTGCTACTGCTGGGGGCAGACAGTGCAACAAATGCCAGAGTACATTCGTGGAGCACATTGCCCCAAAAGAATTCCACAATTGAAACGTGTCATTTGCCGGAGAAGCGTAAATGGTTTCATTTGGTTAATATGCTCTTCTCTGAATGGACTAGCGTGGGCTACATTGATTGGGTAAATACTGTATATATAAAAGCAATGCATTTGCAATGCGATCTTTGTGCAGCTAAAATGCATTTTCTTTATGTATTTGCCTTTGAAAGTGCTCAAGTATTGATTTATTGAATGGGATTGAAGCCTTTTACATTGATATGGTATTAATGAAATGAGCTTGAAAATTATTTGATGCATTTAACAATGGGATTAAAAATGAGTAAGCGCGTTAGATGTAAAGCCATGGAAATGTTTTGTATTTCTTCGAAATGCACCTCTGAGTTAGTTTTATTTAAATTCTCGTTTTTAGAGACCTTCAAATGTAGCCTGGTGAGAGCATTTACGTAGCTGTCTTGAACTTGTGGCCCATTCCATAATTTGTGATATATTTTCCGTCACATTTCCACGTACCCTGCACGTAGCGCACTAACACCACTGCAGGCATTTATTTGCCATATTCTTAAATGCGCATTGACCGCTCTGCCAACCCATCCTGCCCTTACACCACGACTCTGCGACCATGCCCCTTGATGCTGACGCATTTGTGTTGCCTACTTTTGTGGGCCCTGGTCACTGGGCCACGTGTGCTGGGCCCTGGATGTGCTTGGCCATGAGCAATGGGCATTACCCGAGGCTTATTTTGGGGCAGGACAGGACTTGGGGACAGGACAGCAACTTGTTGCCCTACCTCAGAATTATGTTAATTGTGCTCGACGTCTGGTTTTGCTTGGTGTTTATGAAGTTATTAAGTGTGATATTTATTCGTGGAACCGCAGCAGGAGCAGCAGCAATGATGATCCGAGAGGCCTGTCGCTCAATAATTAATTACACATTTACATACGAAATTATGTGAGTGTGCCCACATTTTTGGGGTATCAATTTATGCTAGAGTTAAATATTTTGTTAAGGATGAGGCCGGGAACTTTATAGCCAGCCGGCAATTACCAGCAATCTGTGGAATCTTCTGGGAGCTTGGTGGGGGTGGGACCTGGCTTTTGTCTTTGTGCGACAATCCATAAAAACAAACTGTTAACAGTTGGCGCTTGAGCATTGATTGACCAGACAAGTGCAAGAAATGGAGCTGCTTCAGCATCAACTCCAGGTCCAGCACCAGTATAAACATCAGCTGCTGCACTTCACACGGAGACGTGACACAGTGGCGCTATGGCATAACACACAGATGAATATAAAAATAAACTTGAATCATTTTACCTCGCCCAAACACTATTCCTACTGCCACTTAGCCATCGTCCAGTGTTTCGCTTAGTAAATGCGCGTATTTAAATGCATTTTATTTGTTTCTGGAACCACAGTGCCACATATCCTGTCTTCTCGTCTGCTCGTTTACTCGTAGCCCTGTCTGTCATGAATGATGCGCTCTTTCCTGTGGAAAGCCAACACATTTAACCCCAGAAAGTTGCACCCCACAGATTGATAGACAATGTTTGTGCACTGATTTATATTGTCGCCCAGCTCTTAAATATACATTTTCGCTATTATGTTGCCGGCGGGGACTTTATTATGTGACTCTTAAAGCTCTTGTTGCTCCATCTTAAAGCACAAGAAGATAAAAAATACTCCAAAAATATTATTTTGGAAAGTTTTAAAGCTGGAGCGGAGGACGTTGTGGGCTGCTTTATCAGCGCTGCTCCAAAATGTGGGGCCATTAGACGCGGCTTACGCGTCGTATACGTAATGTTGAATCTACGAGACATTTATAAGACGTGCATTTCGTTTTACAGCCGCCTTGTCGGCAATCCCATTAAGGAATTATCTGGAGAAACATTTCTGCACAACACTCGACTGGAGGCACTGTAAGTGAGGGAATCATATAACCTTATAAATATACCCAGAGGTGATTGTTTGATTTCAGCTCCCTTGCCCAGATGCCGCTTCATATCCATCGCAGCCTGTTGCAGCCCCTCAACATCTCCTTCCTGAATCTGACGGGCATCCGGTACGACCACATCGACTTTGCTGCCATCAACGGTATGCGAAATCTCACGTATATCATTTACGATCGCTTCTTCTACTGCTCCATGACGCCCCGAGTGCGTATGTGCAAGCCATCAACAGACGGTGTGAGCTCCTTCAAGGATCTCCTGACCAAGCCGGTGCTGCGCTACTCTGCCTGGGTAATGGCCACCCTAACCATATCAGGAAACGTGCTGGTCCTCTGGGGGCGCTTCATCTATCGGGACGAGAACATCGCGGTGACCATGGTCATTCGGAATCTGGCTCTGGCCGATATGCTAATGGGATTCTATCTTATCACCATTGGTATTCAGGACTACCGATATAGGAACGAGTATTACAAGTGAGTGTATTACACCTTGGGCTCTTTTTATACCCGATACTCAAAATGGGTATTGGGGTATATTAGATTTGTGGTGAAAGTGGATGTGTGTAACGTCCAGAGGGAATCGTTTCCGACTCCATAAAGTATATATATTCTTGATCAGCATCAATAGCCGAGTCGATTGAGCCATGTCTGTCTGTCCGTCCGTCCGTCTGTCCGTCTGTCCGTCCCCTTCAGCGCCTAGTGCTCAAAGACTATAATAGCTAGAGCAACAGATCTATGTACATCACTACCTATCCACTATTCGCACGAAGTTACAAGATCTACGGCTCAATATGATCAACCGGCAAAACTTTGAAATATGTACTTCCTAGCTACGTTTTTCCAAATGCACACGATTTTCGCTTCTGAACAGAGTCATTCAATTTGAATGATGCGGACATTCTGATGGTAATTAAGCTTTTCCACAATTGAGGACATTCAGTCCGACATTGCCGACATTCCGCATCTGGAGGGTAATAATGTATTGCATATAATGCTAAAAAAAAGCGTCGAGGGTCAAGACAGGGTTGTCAAGCTGCCCCTAACTTAATGTCGTCAGCGAGTACTGATATGCGTAACGTAAAATATCGAACGGCGATAGAAGCCGACTACAAGTGGTTTACCTTAGCCCTATACATTACATTGAGAAAATTTTTAAGCGGCTATTGACACATGTAGTATATCTTTTCTGTTCCATCAAAAGCTTGACGATTTTAGATTTATATTAAAACATTTATTTTTGACTTCATTCTCGATAGCAATTTTTATGTTTTCCTTAAAACGTTCATCCCTAGAGATACATACATACATATGCGTATGACAGACAAAGCATGTGTTTTTATATCAGGTCCCACCAAGCTCATAACTAAAGCTTAATGTATCTATACCTATCCTTTCAGAGTGGTCCTGGACTGGGTCAGCTCTTGGCAATGCGTAGCCATTGGCACTCTGGCGGTCAGCTCCTCGGAGGTATCCATGTTAATACTGGCCTTCATGTCGCTGGAACGCTTCCTGCTCATTGCGGATCCCTTTCGCGGACATCGCAGCATCAGTGTGCGTATCATGTGCTTCTCCCTGTTCTGCATTTGGCTGACGGGCGTGGGCCTAGCTGTGGCCCCCGTGGTGCTCTGGAATTCAAGCACCAAGTTCTATGGCGCTCACTCCGGTACCTGTTTTCCCCTGCACATACACGAGGCCTATCCCTTAGGATGGCAGTACTCGGCGTTTGTCTTCCTGGGTGTCAATCTGCTGCTGCTCGTGATGATCGCCCTGCTCTATACGGCGCTGTTGATCTCCATTTGGCGAACGCGAAGTGCCACGCCACTGTCCCTGCTGGACTGCGAGTTTGCGGTGCGTTTCTTTTTCATTGTGCTCACGGATGTGCTCTGCTGGGTGCCCATCATAGTCATGAAAATCTGGGTGTTCTTCAACTACAATATATCGGACGATATATACGCCTGGCTGGTGGTCTTCGTGCTGCCCCTCAACTCGGCCGTCAATCCTCTGCTGTATACCTTCACCACGCCCAAGTATCGCAATCAGATCTTCCTGCGCGGCTGGAAGAAAATCACCTCACGCAAGCGGGCCGAAACGGCCAATGGTAATGCGGGCACGATCACAACTGGCACGGCGACAGGCTCCTCACAGCATCCGGAAGAGTCCACCACGATTGCTAAGGCCATGCCGCTGGCCCTGACGTTGGCCAACTGAATGATGTCCACGGGGAGTTTGAACATGTATACCATCATCAGATAGAGAAAATTGAGTGCCGCAAGCCCTTCAGAGTATTGGGCCTTGCATTTATTTTGTCTATGATAACAAAATCTATCCATTTATGTATATCTATGAGCATCTATATCTATGTATATCCCTCAATATTTATGTAAGTTAACCAAAGGTAAGCGTGAAATACATTCAATGTGATATTTGTAAGGAAATTTCCCTAAAATTTGATTTTTATGGGTTATGGCTATGCCAGAACCAACTTTTGGCGAATATTGTGGGACGCAGACATCGCATTCAGCTCCTGCAGCGCCAGGTTCATGCCGTGCTGGCGCTCAATGTGAACGTGCAGTCTGAAAGAAAAGTAAACGTATTAGTATATTTGGAATGTGCTATGAGCCATCCGGAACACAAAGACTTACGATCCGAGATCTAAGTTTTTTTCGCAGTAACTGCACTTGTGGCCAATTGCTGGTTCTCTTTAGTGTGGATCTTGAGGCATCTAGCTACGCCAAATTTCTTTTCGCAGAAATCGCAGTGCTGGTTCTTCACGTGTCTGCTCAATGAAAATTTGTTGGCGAACATTGAGTTGCATTGCTGACAACCGTGGAACGGACGATTAGCGTCATGTAGGTGCAGATGCCGATTCAAATATCGTTTCTGCTTGAAAGCCTTGTGGCATATCTTGCAAGTGAAGTGAGGCACAGGTTGTCCATCTTTTTCAGCAGTCTCGTGCTTTGCCATCAGATCGGTATCTGTCATGGCTTGGGGTTTGGTAACCTGAGCCTTGGCCATCGGCATCTGCTCGGTTTCCGCTTTTGCAGCCTTCTCTTCCTCTTTTACGTACTTAGCCATGGCCTTGCAATAATCGTGGAAGCATTTAAGCTTCTCACCGCAGTCGTTGCACAACGGTTGGGCGCTGTTTGGGCACTGACGTAGATCCTTGCCAGAACACATCTGGTGGCAATCAAAGAATGAACGCCCCGCCTGAGCATCACAGATCGAGTTCATGTTCAGTATCTGGTGAGGCTGGAGCTCTTGACCGCAAAAGCGGCAATGATTCTTGAAGTTTATAAAAAACGTCGGGTCTTGTTGCTGCATTTGATTGTGTTGATCCATTTTTACAGGTAAATGCATACAATACGAGAATTTATGTTACCTTAACCTTAAGCTAGTGGAAATAAATCCAAAAGTACCGCCTGAGCGTTGAGAAAACGATAAAGGGTTGCCACCAAAGCACATGCTAACTGTGTGGCAACTCTCTCCACAGCGCTCAAAATTTTGTAAGCAATCATTTTCCGCAGCAGTTATTCGCAGGGACAAAACAAAGGAATGGATTTGGGTGTCAGCACCATCGAGCCAGATTCCGATCTCGTGCATCCAGACGATGCCCAGTATATCTGGCTGCCCATCGCCACGCTCGTGGCCATATTCATCCTAGCAGCTTTGGTGCGTTACATTCCTTATCGGCAGTGTTTGAACAAGTGTGCGCCCTCGTTAACATATGTATTTGCAGGTGTATGCCATGTCACGTAGCCGCTGCCAATGCTCTTGTCCCTGCTTGAAACGGATGAAGCCGCCCCGTATCGACTACATCAACGTGGATGAGGAAGATTCAGATGTGCCCATGGCCGGTGGGGAGGAGTTGGGAGAGCAATATGCTGCTGCCAGCTTGCTGAGTGGTCGTCTGCATATTGAAAATGTACGTCTGGTATATGATATTGATATTTGGAATAAGTAATGATCGTTTTGTTGTACATAGCGTCCAGAGCACTGCCACCACCCTCCAGGGACCTGCAGTTCTCCTGCCTAGGCGGATAACTGAATCTCTTACAGAAGAAACTTCCATACAATTTATTGTCCACATTGTCCAACTTGGTGGTTGTCATCCATCAAATCAGCTTAGATACTAAATCAATCGATGTGCCTCTGCCTTAGGTATAACAATAATAACACTAATTTAAGGGTCAGTATTGGTAGCGCCCAACAGGCGCGTTGTTAGGTCGTAGAATCCAAAGAAGAATGCCCCGCCAAGTGTGATCCACAGCACACGCGGCACAAATCCAGCAAACAGACTGAGAAATAAATAATATTTAAATATTTGTAAACAGATTTCTAGAGGCTTATCATTTTGTTACCCGCTGAAGCCTCGTTCCAGATAAATGCCGTGAAGAATGCTGTAGGCATTGCGACGCCGCGTGAGGCTCTCCCGTTCCGCTAGCATAATGCGTGTCTTCACCACATCCAGCGGAGTTGTCAGACCAGCTGAAATGCCACCGGCGACCGCGCCGCAGAGAGCAACCGTTAATGGCGTTGACTCGTAGCCCGTTATTGGTGTCCACTGGAGTTTAAAGTACTCCCACAACGGGAACTGTATCAAGCTGAATGGAATTTCGCGCATGATGGTTGAGCCAAAGCCACGATAAAGACCACGACGCAGTCCTTCAGTGCGATAGGCACGCATTAGGATCTGGAAAGCCGACTGCTGCTGCTTGTGGCCCAGCAGAGTCTGCGATCGCTGTTTAGCTATCTCCACAGGTACGCGAATAAGGCACGCCAGCTATGAATACATAAAAGTATTAAACACAAGCGTATTTTGATTCCAGTCAGTCCTACCACTTCTGCTGTGGACGCTGCCGCCATGTGGACATACGGAGAATCTTTGGTATTAGTGACAGAGCTAAAGAACTGCTTGCCGCACTCGTAGGCACAAAAGAAGAGCGCCGCTGTAGGTGCACTGCCGGTGGCTGCAGGAGCCAGGCCCTTGTAGATCCCACGGAAGCCGCCGGCACGCCAGAAGCCCAATTCACTTTGGAGTCGCGTTTTTACCGTGTCTATTGGAAAGAGGGCGATGTCGACCACCACGCCAGCCACTCCACCAGCCTATGAAAGGTCATGTTATGATTAATATGCTTTGATTCTTAATCTTTCAACGTACCACCAGAGCATGAAGAAATGAAAATTTTGCTACCGGGTCCTGCATGCTGATGTGCGCTGCGAGAGCGGCCGAATCCTGAGCTAGATCTGCAGCCATTGCTTACAATTATTGATTGCGGTTTCCAATCTTAAGTCATGCTGTCAGGTTTTTTGTTTTAAATAATAAACACATTGTCTGGTTTGGTTGTTAACGTAACAAGAAAATCAGCTGCGCCGCAGTGTTGCCACTTTAGGTAGCAACGGTCTGGCAAAACCGCCCAAACAGCTGTTCGCGGTTGTTCTTTGGCAAGAGGAAGACCACCGTTTTGGCCAGCATATTAAAGCGCACTTGGCCGTGATATTTTTGAGTGATTTGCAAGACAATTGGCTACGGCAGCACTAAAGGCAAATAATCCACGAAACGCAATCATGGCCCTTCGCTTGACACAGAGACTGCTGCAGACGCAGACGCCGTTCCTGACACGCGTAGGTTTTCGTGGGCTGAAAATTGGCCAAAATTACATAATGTGGTGGGCCGTGGAACGGGCAGCAGAACTGATCGTTTCCCTATCTAATCAATTTCAGGGCTATCCTATGCTGGTAACCAAGGAAAAGAGCGAGGATGTGGCCCACACCAAATCGTCGCTGCAGAAGAAAGTTACGGTAGGTGTTAACCGCGCACAAGTGAGGTTATAGCATAGACAATATTGATGTACATATGTATACGTTTGTGCAGCGGACAGATATCCCATCGGCCCAGTATGGTGGTCGTCATGCTGTCACCATGCTCCCTGGCGGTGGCATCGGTCCGGAGCTGATGACATATGTGAGGGAAATCTTCAGCTACTGCGGCGCTCCCATTGATTTTGAGGTAATCGACATTGATCCCTCCACCGAGGGAAACGATGATCTGGACTATGCCATCATGTCGATCAAGAGAAACGGTGTCGCACTCAAGGGCAACATTGAGACCAAGTCCCAGGAGCTGTCGGACATCTCTCGCAACGTGGCCATCCGTAATGAGCTGGATCTCTATGTGAACGTTGTCCACTGCAAGTCGTATCCCGGCATTCCGGCCCGCCACCAGGACATTGACGTTGTTCTGATCCGTCAGAACACCGATGGTGAGTATGCTATGTTGGAGCATGAGTCGGTGCCTGGCATCGTCGAGAGCATGAAGGTAGTCACCGTCGAGAATGCCGAGCGTGTGGCCCGCTATGCCTTCGAGTATGCGCGTCAGAACAACCGCAAGAAGGTCACTACCATCCACAAAGCAAACATCATGAAGCTGTCCGACGGTCTCTTTCTGGAGTGTGCCAACCGTGTGCACAAGGACTATCCCGAGCTGGAGCACGACAACATGATCATCGACAACACCTGCATGCAAGCCGTGTCCAAGCCCCATCAGTTCGATGTGATGAACATGACCAATTTGTATGGAACCATTGTGTCCAATGTGCTCTGCGGCTTGATGGGCGGAGCTGGCCTCATTTCCGGCCGCAACTACGGCGATCATGTAAGTATTAAGAGTCTTTGGAGCTGCCACAAAATACTGGTTTGACGTACGATTTCGTTTTCAGTACGCCGTGTTTGAGCCGGGCACCCGCAACACAGGCACTGCCATTGCTGGCAAGAATATTGCCAATCCCGTGGCAATGATCAATGCCAGCATTGACATGTTAAATCATCTTGGCCACAAGGAGCATGCCAATGTCATCTACGAGGCCACCTATCAGACCATTTGCAATGATGCCATCCGCACACCAGGTACGCGCGCCAACTAATTGCTTAAGTTTGGTTTTATTTAATCGTAACATCTTACAGATCTGGGCGGCAACCACTCCAGTACCGATGTTGTTGAGAATATACTCAAAATCTTGAGTGCCAAGCGCGTGAATTGGTAAAAAAAACGCCCTGCATAACTCTTTTGCCTTATTATTATGTTATAACGCGCTCTCACCCAAGTGCTGTATTTAGTGTTGAATCAGAACACATCTATCCGCTTGTCCTATTTTTTATCGAGTACTTCACTACCTATGTCGCGAGCCTATATATGTTGTATTATAATTTCATGCTCTATTATTGTATTATTTTGATTCGTATTCCCAGACAGAACTGTAAGTGTTACATGTACAACTTTATTGTTTTAACCCCCCACCAAAAACTGTGCCCCTAACCGAAACAACACACACAAAGACCTAATCCTAATCCTAACTTATCTACTAATTCGTAGTCCTTAGTGTAATTTCTGTTTAGTAAAACGCTTTGTTGAATTATTTCTGTTTTAAGTAGTGGTCCTCCAGTAGTCACAAAACACCAAACACACACCCAGTATACACACCCACACACAAAAAGTATGTAGTCTGCGTCCACGCACGGATTATCCTTCTTTGCAACGTATAACCAATCCAATCCAACTGTCTTATGTGCAAATCCAATCTAACAAATAATTTTATTTTCTCTACTCCCTCCTCCGTCCCCGAAATCGAAATCCAAAATGCTTACCCGCTCGCAGGCCACATGGAAACTATTTCAACCAATTATAGGCACTATCGCACTACCGAAACTCAACCTAAACCCAAACCCAAACCAAAACAAAAACAAACTAAACAAACAAAACAAAATTCTATTAACCCAGAACTAAGCCGATTTGAGAGAACTGTTATAAGCGACATCTTTTACCCCTAAGCCAATGCATTCAGCGTCTACCCCGAAAGAATCAGTTTAATTATGTTTGAGGTCAAATTGTCTCGCTGCTTAACCAATCCAAAAATACTATGTACCCCTCCGGCTATATGTCCATTCGTGTGTTCCCATTTGATGTCAAAAGTGTGATAAATCAGGTAATACTCCAAACTCCAAATACATTTCTAGCTTTAAAGAATCGCTCAGTTTACAGTCCACATAATAATGCATTTCGATATTTTACTCCACAGATTTTCTTTGCCGGCACTATCCACTGTCTCTGTACTATTCAAAGCCCCGACACTCTAATTTAATCCCTTCTCCCTTTTATTTTACTATATCATTATCCTAAGTAAAAAGCTCTTCAAAAATGTTAGTTAGCCAAGTTTTCCAGGAATAGTCAAGATATTAAATTGTAAATTAGATTTTCCAAGAAACGATTGTGTAATATTGCGTAAACAAATTCAAACAAAATGTATTATTCTGTTCGAATATTTATTAGAAAAATCTAAAAGTATACAAAGACAACTCTGTAATGCGTTTTAATTGTTGGGAATGGTAAGGACTTTGTATTTATATAGCATACAAATTGAATGGGATATTTGAGATCTAGTTTGGAATTCAAGCGAATTCTTCTGTCCCTAGAATATCAAACACACGAGCACTTCGGCACATTACAATACACGATAGTAAAACAGTCCCTAAGGGTTCTAAAAAATCCCAATTTGTGCTAAAAGACGACAGTTTCTTATCAAAAGTGTTGAGATTCCATTAAATCACTGTCTGTGGAAGTTTTAGGAACTACTACTTTGTAACGATATCACTCAGAAGGAGATGATCTACCATCTGTACGTGTTTCCCGCAGCTGCTTGGTAAGATCCAAGCGTATAGTACTAGGAAATTTGCGGAAGATGTTCTACGAGAGTCCAAACATCATTTCCACTTCCACGAAGGAGCAAGCATGTTGTCGTGTCTACAGATTGATTGATTCGCTCTTTCACACTATCATTAAGTTGCCACTGTTTAAAGACCATACCACACATTCGCACAGAAATAACACATTTTTCATACTTCGGTCATTTAAATCAGAATTGTTTTTTTATTTAACCTTAAAAAAACGACGACAATAAATCATCATCATCCCATTAGTTTCTAGCTTAGAAACGCAGCTTCTGGAAGAACCACTTGTTCTTGCCCTCCTTGTAGATGGACTCAAACTTGACGCGGGTCTGGAAACGGTGTGTCTTGCGCTTGACGGGATCCTTCAGGTCCTTGGGCGACAGTTTCTCGAAGCTGATGTCATGCGCCGTGTAGCGGGTGGGCATCAGATGGTTGTAGTTCAGGCTCTTCAGGAAAGGCTTGATCTTAGACTTCTTCTTCAACTTGTTCTTGCCCATTTTCTTGGTCACCTTGCGAGGGTACCTATCGATACCGGCGACCAGAGCATGCCCGAAGGGTTTCTCCGGGGTGCCATCGTCGGAGGTCTTGACGATGATGGCCTTGCGGCCAGCGTAACGTCCGCTAAGGACGATTACGATCTTGCCCTGCTTCATGATTTTCCTCATCTTGGCGGCTGTATAAGTCAATCGTTGTTATTGGTCGAGGGTGGAGGAGGCGTACATTCATGAAATTGGAAGACAAAAATTCACATTGTTAGCAAAGTTGTCTTTAAATCACTTATAGTTATTAAAGTAATACATTTTCACTCTTCAAATGTTCGTTCCTTGCACAAACAAAAGTATTTTTCTTAAACATCGGTTATGTCTTCGTTTTGTTTTGTTTGTCTTTTTCGACAAGGCTTTATTTTGCTTTAATTGGCGAATATGCATGTCAATATCTATCTTATCAATTGCTCTGAACAGTTCCTCAACACTTTTCACTATTATTCTTCAATGTTGGTTTGTTACTTAAATGGAATTTTAAGATTTTATTTTCACACAACTTACAGGTCTGTTCAGCGACCGGAAAAGAAAGAAAAGGAAGACGTCGATAGCATGAGTTTGACAGCTGACAGCTGGGATTTATCGTCAAAATATACCGTCCGACTCTCAGAAATATACCAAAATATACCGTCTCGTTTAAAAAATATACCGTAAATATACTGACTGAAATATTTAAATCAAATAAGTTTATATGGATATATTATATGTTTTGTATATCAAATACATATTAAAACTAACTTATCAGTACTAATTTGAATACTAGTCCCTGGGCTCTGTTAAACGGACCAACATGGCAAGTACCCTGATGAATAGTATGATAGCAGGAAACGGACGCGACAGAATGATAGCTCGTGTTAATATTCCTGAATACCTGCGGCATATTCAATCTAAACAACTGTGCGTATGTCGCCAGCTTTTTAAAGTGGCTCAGCTTGAATGGTGTACACTACAGGGCCAAATTTCGCCGAAAAACAAATCTGCTCCACCAATAACCAGCCAATAACTGTTTAGTTCCTGGCGAAAAGATCAGTTCGGCCATCGATTTCGTCATCTTTGGGCGGCGTTTGTTCTTCTTAGGCTTCTGATAATTAATGGCCCCGTCTTCGGCGATGCGATTTTCAATCATCTCCGTGGAAAAGCAGTCTCCATTTTGTAGTTCACTGTACCCAAAAATAACACCCTTTACATGTATTCCCCGGAATATACATATCTTGGCTATGTTAAAGATGTTTAGGCGTGACATAATCCATGGAGCTTTCGCGGCGTTTAATGCGCAAAACTTGGTCTCCGGATGCTTGGCGGCCAGGATCTTCAGGTGATTTTCCAGTTGGCGGCATCGCTTGTCTCCTGGTCTAAAGAAGTGGCACACAAGCCATGATTCAGGATCTATCTCATGCGTTAACTTGATGAGTTCAGACTGGTCGGCCAGCCTGATGTAGGTTTTATTCTTCTTGCTCTTTGCTTCCATCTTGCTTCGCCAAGTTCTTTAAAGACTATGGGTTAATGATTGATATTAATGAATTCAATTTAATTGGTATTGACTTACTCTCCCTTACAACTCCCTCCTAAGATCTGCAGTATGGTATCTGCTATCGCTTGTTGTCGTTTTACAATCTAGATTTAGCTGGCAATACGACCATTAACAAAATATGTATATTTATTTACTTGTACGGGGGTACTCATGTATGTACAAATCACATTACATACTAATCATTGCGATATTAGAAATACTACTCTTTTGCAATAGTATTCTTGATATAGAACAAAATGCTCAGCACTACGTCTTCTTTTGGATAATCTTAAATGTATTATGCCTGTTCATAACATAGCTCAGAGCAGTGGCAGCGGTTGTCAGTCCGGTCAGATACCAGAGGCCATGTAGGGCAGGATGGTCTGTGCGCAGATAGCAGATAGATATTAGGTTGTGATCCTTGGTTCGAATACATTGAAGAGCTTACCCAAATAGTTCCAAATGGGAGCTCCTAGACTTAGGCCAATCGTAGCCAGTTGCACGCCCGTGTTGATTTTGCTGAGCAGAGTGGGCTCCAACTGAGCCGTTACATGGGTGGCATCGAAGTAACGCGAAAAGGTTTTCTATTGAAAGAACGAACAGAGTTAGCCAATCATCCGCTTATTCTAATGCCAGGTGACACACTCACTGGAGGGGGCAGACTTATGTAGCGAATGACAAATCCAGCGGCTAATAGGAACACATCACGAAACACAACAATACCCGCCAGCCACATGGGCATCAGATCGGTATAGCAGAGCGAAATCACCAGGGAACCCATCAGCAGCTTGTCGGCCATCGGATCTAGGAAGGAGCCCGCCTTGGTGGCCTGCGAGGGCCAACGCCGAGCAATCTGCCCATCCAACTGTACAGAACAAGAACTAGAGGTTAAACGGGATACCGATTTGAATCAACATTTAATCTTAATCCTTACCAGATCCGAGACTCCGGCAATTGCTAGTAGACTCATGCCGAACGTAAAGTCGCCCTGGACAATAACATAACCAATATAGGGAGAGAGTATGGCACGGCTGATTGTCAACATGTTAGGTATGGTCATGATATTCTCACGCTCCTCGCGTATCTCAACGATCTTCTCGCGGACCCGCTCTTGCACTTTGTGGCGTGCCTCTCTGATGTCGTCGACAAGGAAATTCTTACGCTCAATGAACTCGGCTCGCTGCTTGTCGATAACACCTTGCAGTAGAACGCGTCCTTGCAAGGTGCGAAGATGCAGCGAATGCTTCTTGGAATCCGCATACAGCCGAAGTCGGGCCACGTCCCAGTTGCGGCGCTGCTTGATGTCCAGGAAGGAGATGCGAATGAAGCCGGTGGCAGCGGCATAACGATTTAGGCAGTTGACAAAGCTACTGCCACCCACTCCCAGTACGTGCTCCAGGGTCGAGGCTCTATGGTGAAGTCCTTGGCGAAAAACCATGGCTGGCAGCATGATCTGATGCCAGGCTTAAATACTCAGGTACGAACTCTGCAGAGTGGCACCTTAACGTTTACGTACTGCCAACAAATATACAGAGAAATTTTATTTTACCAAATTTATTTTGATTAGCTCAGCATGGCCTTGTGCCATTTGGCCGGACGATGACCCTTGGAATCATTCCATAAATCCTTACCATTAAATATCGTTGCTATAGTGTTACACTCAAGTGTAACACAACATGAGTGCTGTGTACGTATCTAAATTCGTAGAAATAAGGGATTTTACAAGAATTTAGAAAATTTTGTTTTTATTTTTTATTACACAAGTCGGCGATGAGGTAGTGGTGGGCAAACTATCGATTGCACTATCGATTCATGCAATGGCTACTTATGTTTTGGGTTTGTTTCATCGCCTGTGCAAGCTGCTCTACTACCGGGTGAGGCCAGTCTTCATATTCGATGGATGTACGCCTCAACTGAAAAGGGATACGATTGTGGGTTATTCTTTTGCCTCTGTCTTTGTCGCACTTGCAAGACTAACATTTGTTGATGCTCTCTTTTTAGGCGCGTCGTCAGCAGCAGCGCAATAAACTTAGCAACGAAGCAGACCGCATACAGGCTCTTCTCCTGCAGTCCCTGGCCAGGGAGAAGGTTGTGCAACAGGCGCTGGGCAAGAATGCTGAGCTTTTGTTGAAATCACCGGTGAAACGACCGCCGCCCAGCAAGTCCAAAAACGATGAGGATGATCTATTTAAGCTGCCAGAATTGCCGGCTTTGGCCGCTGGGCAGGATAACCCAGATGAAAGCGGCCAGGATTTGGACTACACCAGTGCCAGTGCCACTTCGGATAGCTCATTTGATGAGTCCACCGCTCGACATGCGTACAATTCGAGTCTGCAGGCCATCGATGTCAAGAGTCAGAACTTTAAGAACCTTCCCGCCGACGTTCGTCACGAGAAACTCACCGACATCAAGGAGACGCGCAAACAGTCTTCGTGGGGGCGCCTGCATGAGTTACCCGCCCGCAGCGATGACTTCTGCTCCTTCCAGATGAAGCGTCTGCTGAAGCGACGCGCCGTCCAGGAGAGCCTGGAGCAGGCGGAACAGGAAATGGGCGGACACACGCTTACCTATTCCGAGCTGTGTGACTTTTTCAGCGAGGAGGGTATTGTAACGCCCACGGCCATAGAGCAGAGCACGCGGCAAATCATGCAAATATGCTCGGATGAGCATACGCGATTCCTGCTGGTCAGGGATCTCAAGAAGAAGGCATTGGAGAGCACCAAAACCGAGATGAAAATGGAGACAATTGAGGAGCTGCCAGAGACAAAGCCGCCAGTTGATGAGGAGAAGCCATCTACATCCAGCAAGGCGGAGACTGTTGAAATGGGCACTGAATACGATGCGGACTTGGCGCAGGCCTTGGCCCTCTCACTGGAAGAGAGCACCACAAAAGTGTATGACGAGAAGGACTACGACTATGACTCGGATCAGGAGTTGCGGCTCAATCGCGCTCAAAGCAAACAGTTGCGACACGCAGCCAAGGGTCCGGCCAGGGCATACATGATTGAATATGGCGGCATGAACGATGAGGAGGTGGGCAACATAATGGAGTCCACTCAATTGAATGATACGCAAAGCCTCGAACACTTACTAGGCACAACTGTAGTCCCCGTCGATATAGCAAACGATTCAGTGGAGGAGGCCAAGCAACTCTCAAAGGCCATTGAAGAGAGCAAGAAGACTCTCCTAGAGGATAAGGTACAGATAATAGACACGGATACGGACTCTGATTTGGAGGAAGTTGTGGAAACCAAGGCATCGGCTGGTCTAGAAATTCGTTTGGACATCACTAATAATCTAAAACCCACCAACGATCTATTTGCGGATATATTCGAAGAGGACTCTGGCAAGGAAAAAGCGGCAGATGAAAGCGAAGATGATGAAGATTTCATAGAAGTACCAGAGAGTGAGGAATTGAAGATCATTGAAGATTCACAGGAGAAACCAATCACAGATGAAACTAGTCCAGGAACTGAAATAATCGAAGTAAAAGAAAGCCAAGAAGAAATGAAATGGCTCAATCTGCTCGATGTCGTCGCTCATTTCGATCTTGTTGATGCCGGCAAAGAGGTTGTCATCCAGTTCCTCTTTGTTTTGGGTGATGGATATCGTTCGGGGCTTTAAACACTCAATGGGGGGTGGGAAGGGAGCTGGAGCAAGAGCAGAAGGAGCTGGAAGAGCAGCAGCAGAAGGTGAAGGAGCAGCCACAGGCATTGGGGGAGGAGGAGGCTCGATTGGTTCCTGCTTGACCTTAGCTCGTTCCGCTCTCAACCAAATCTCGACAGTAGTCTCCGCCCCCATCGTATGAAGGCCACACATTGTCTTATCCAGCACGACCGTGTGCATGAGTTGCACGGGCTTTTGGCGCAGATGCTCGTGGAAGAACAGCTGTATCCGCATGGGGAACTCGCCCCAGCCACGACGATTCAACTGAAATGGCGGCGCATGAACATCCACAATGTCGTTGGGCCGATACGAATGATGCAGCTGAAAGCGCACCTAAAATGAAAATAGAATGAGTTAAAAAGGTTGCACTGGCTAACAGCGACAGACTCACCTTCTTGATATACGTCTCCAGGGGTTTTGGCAGATCTTTGCCCTGGACATAGACCAGCCATTTGTAGACAAGGGCCTGGCCACCATTCTCCAATGTAGTTTTGCCATCCCCACCAATGTATTTGGATGTGTTGCCCACCACAAAGTTGAATTTGTTCTTGTTGTTCAATCGCGAAGAATTCAGCTCCAGTTGCTGCTGCTGTTGCCGCTCGTGTGCCTGACGACTGGTGCATGGCTGCTCATCTTCCACCTTGATATTGATTGATTGCTGCTGTTGATCTTTTGAATGATCGATGACAATTCCCTGCTCGCGAATCTTTTGCTGTCTGCGACGCTCCGCACGGCGGTGCGCTGGGTTTCGCTGCCTTATCGTCTGCTTGGCCAGTGTGGCAGCCGTGCGCTCTGGCAGGTGGTTCTGGATGAGCAATGGGCGCTTTCCGACAATCTTCTTAATGGCCGGATGCAGAGGCAACTGTGGACCAGCGCTTTCATCGCTGAACAGTGATTCGCCCAGGGGAACCTGTTGCTTCCTATAGTACTCGCTGACCACTTCAAAGCGCAGCTTGTCCAGCAGTTGACGCGCCTGCAGCAGTCGTCTATCTATCTCGGCCAGCTGCTCATCCTTAAGCGAGATTTCCCTCTGAAATTCTACGCGGACGATCTCACAGATACGCTCCACCTTCTCCGTTGTGTCTGGCACGGGCACGCGCTGTGGCTGAGCTGATTTATCCAACTCTTCTTCCTCCTCCTCGGCCGCCGACTCCGTCTCCAGTTTCGTCCGCTTTTGCTGGTTTGTAGCTGCATCCTCACTATCTTCATTAGTTGAAGCTGTTTGGAGATAGTCTGGATCGTGGTACTCGCTGTGTTTGCGCTTCTTTGGCGTCGCTGGCGCGCTCTGCTCCATGTGCTGTGCGCGGCGCTTAAAATCGTTGGCACACGCACAAGGCTCTTATCACCTGTGTTCGCAGAAAATATATTTCAAGTTATGCCGAAGCTGGTTGCACATTTATGCCGACTTTTTGGTAATATTTACCGAAAATCGTACATACACACACACACACGCATAGGCATGCCGAGAGGGAAGAGCGAGCCAGAGAGAGAGAGAGAGAAGTGGCGGTATGTCAACACTTTTGCCAAAGTGCCGTAGAGTGGAGATGGTCACACTATTGGCTTGAAATCCCGCGCCCAACGCTTTTGTTTGCCAAGTGAAAGATTCGCTTCGACAAGGGCTCCATCTTCGGTGGCAAAATCAGCCTCAGTGAGGATGGGGCTATCGACGAGCCCGCCTTGTCGTTGTCGTGCATTGGGCAGGTCCTGAATCCTTTGCAGCAGCAGGTGAGGGAGAGCGTCGACCGTCAGCAGTCCCTGGTGGCAGACATTCAGAGCGCCCATGGAGCTTTCGTCTCGGAGACGGGAAGCTGTGGCAGCTCGCGCGACACCCTACGATAGCTACATTGAGCTGTCGGGCAATCTCCAGGAGGGAACTAAATTCTACAACGACCTCACCCAGCTGCTGGTCGTATTCCAGAACAAGATCAGCGACTTTGTGTTTGCCCGCAAAACGGAAAAGGAGGAGCTCATGAAGGACCTAACTACAGCGTCGAGCCGACAAGCTTGCCCGGCTACGCCCTCTCTGCCCTCGCACTATGCCTCCAGTCGTTTAATTGGATTAAATTTAATTACGCTTCCACTTAACCAAAGCGAACGCTGTTATGGCTTGGTGCTCTGTCGGTGGACTGCCCGCCGTCTTGAATATGCAAATGAAGTCGCGGTAAACGTTTATGACTTAATATAAACTTTGGCATCTGCTTGACCATGACCTTACCTTATCATCCCGCTAATTTAGCCAAAAGTTGCCTACCGCGAATCTGTTCTACATTTAATAAATGAATTTACTGACAAGCCACGGCGTTGACCCCCTTTTAATGGCGATTCTGAGCTAATAATTATAAAACTGTCAGGTGTGCTTTTTGGCCAAACCAAACAGCAGCAAAACAAACGTTAAAAATAATAGCATCTCTTTTCGGTTTGTCCTTTGAGTCACGTCCTGGCACGTTCGATGTGCACCTGGGCCATCATCGTAATTGCAGGTGGAGGGACAGGAGAGCGCGCCATAAGTTGCCAAAAGAAAGTTGCAATCCCTCCCGAGTGTCCACACTGCATCAGCATTAATAATAAACTGCAGGCGAAGGTGTTCGACACAATAATGTCCGTGGCATGTCAAGCGTCATTTTGTATGTTAATTTTCACCATCCACCATTTTTACTTATTCTTTTTATCATTTTTCCTGATTTTCTCAATGGCACTCAGGGCTACTCAGTAGCTCTCTGCCATAAACAGGAAGCGCCAGAGGGAAACCGTGGAAAGAAGCGGAGTCACAGAGACGGCGGAAGAGATTGACAACTTTTGCGATACTCTTGTTCGAGGTATAAAGATTTTATAGAGAAGGATTCAAGGAATATTTAGAACTACGCTTACACATTATAGTTCATTTCTGTATATGTGTTTTTGAGGAGTCTACATACGTAGACATTCGGCGAACAAATATCTGAAGGGCTACAGCTTTCTTAATCCTTAAACGGATTTTCGTAGAGTTCCTATGTGTAATTTGTTCATATAAGCTGTTATTATGAGCGGAAAGGAAACTTGAGGCTAAAGGAATCCTAAAGTAGAGCATTTTACACTTCCGCTTAGTTTAAAAAGCTCATTAACAGGTAGCCAAAAAAGTTTACAAAGGGAATTTCAGTTTGGCATTCGATTTTTGTTTCCTGCCTTCTTTTTTTTATAATATTCATTTAATTTTTTTTGTGCACGCCTCATTGCGCTTCATTAATCAAAAGTAATTTTCCGCCTTTCACACTGGACCTCCCGCATCAGCCCCTCCCTCCATTTTACCTGGCGTAGTGAAGATGGCAAACGTCAGCAGCAGCAGCAGCAGCAGCAGCAGCAGCAGCAGAGGAAAATAAGTAGAAACTGGGAAAGAAACGGCAGGAAAAAAAGGAAAATGATGTCGGCCATTTTGCATTAAGGTTGGACATTTCCCTTGTTCTTTCCCCCCCCCGTTGCCACGATGTATGGGTGTGTATCTGTGTGAGCCGCTAATTAACTGTTTTACATTAAGTGGCCATAAAGGCAGCCGAACGCCGAACATTTTAGTCTATTTTAATGCGCTTCGAGTGGCTGGCGGGCGTGATCGGCTCGGACAATGAGGAACCACTGGCCATTAGCGGCAATTTCTTTCTCTCTCTCTCTCTCTCTCTGAGCCGCAGACTTCTCTTCAGCCGACATTGGCCATTTTCTTAAATGATTTACGACTGCTTTAAAGGCCAAACCATAAAAACAGCCAACTTCATCTGGACCGAGGTCTACTACGGTGCTCAACACTCGCTCCTTGGTGCCCAGTGCCCAGTGCCCGGTGTTTTCCTTTGTGCTTAATTTAATTAAATACTTGCTCGGCCGTTTGCTCTGTCTCTCTCTCTCTCCTTCTGCCAAAAATGGTTAATGTGGTCAGCATAAATTGTGGCAAGCTCATTTGGCTTTAAATTATTTGCGGCCTCCTCTAACGCTTGTGGGTCGGAATAAACGATACATATATGAACTGGCAATTGGTTCGTCTAATGAGAGAGAATCCAAGTCCGAGTCGAGGCTCTGCCAGATGCGGTCCAAGATTTATCGTGCCAAAGGTGTTTCCACACTGAGAGAAATACCAACAGTCATGAGATTAATGGTGGTCTGATTTTGTAGAAAACAAACAGAGAAACTCTTTTTTTGTTCATAAATTGATTTCTGAACGTGGGAGCGTTCCTACAAAGATTTATTTTTGACCGAAGTCCACTCTTTCAGATGTTATTTCTCAGTGTATTTTATATGGAATTTCTGGACTGAGGTAAATCAAAAATCCGCACAAAATTACAAGTTGAATTTGTGGCGAGAAAAGTTGGGCAGCCAGCCCCTTCAGGTATTCGGATCTAGGTCCTTCAATTCCGCAACTGCCCAAAGTCCGCCCACAAATCACAAGCCAATGACGACTAATTAGAGTGCAAAAAGGGAGGACCGGCAAAGGCTTCTCTTCAGCAGAGTAACAATGACTTTTCACAAAACTCCAACTATTTTCAAGCTGTGCTATGGACTAAGGACTGGCCCTAGCCGAGCCTCACCCCAGCCCCAGCAGACCCTCGTCGAGTCGTCCCCCAACTTTGCTTTGTTCTAAGTTATCAACCCACAAGTGGCGGCAAACTTTTGCTTTACGGTGTCGCCATCTTTTTTCTAGGCCCCCCCCGATGGTGGGACGTGTGACGGGGGACGGTGGGCGGGGGGCGCAACTTAAAAGAAGATTAAACCACAGCTGGCAGTGGGCCGCCAAGAGCGGATTCGGTCGGATCCACCAACAGAGCCAGACCACTTTGAACCGCTCCTGGTTGGAGTCCGGACTCGGTCGAGGACTCTCTTGAAATGAGAACGTTTGGCGATTTTCAGGCGACACTTGTCGAAAGTTACGCGTAATTATAACAATGTGCGAGGGGGAGGCAGCAGGAAGAGAAGGCGTTCCGATGGGCGTTGCTCTATGGTATGGGCCACATTTTAGTTTATGCCTTTACAATGCCCTAACATCAAAAGTTGGGACTCGGGGCAGGAGGTTCAACTATGCGGGCTGCCCCGGCGAGCAGTGCTACGGGTGCGCGGTCTCCGGAGTCGCGGAGTCCCGGAGATAGGTGTCGCATGAGGGGCCAGGGAAACCGCATAGAAATTAACAAATGTGCATGAAGTCACCAGTAAACAAAAGACAAACGATAAGCGAAAGTTCAAAGGTTCTTTACACACAATATATTGTGTGTGTTTGTTGCTGCTGGGAGATCTCTAACCCCGATAATGATAAAACGTTCTCGTACACCCAGAGAAAACACCTATACAGTTTTAATACTTACATGTCTACATTTTTGCATTAGTATCATATTTAAAGCAAATGTATTTTATGTCTAAAATAAGTACTTTCATATTTTTATTACATATACTTCCTACAAATGTAATGAATGTATTATATTTATTTTAAAGTGTTTTTTATTATGTTTATACATAGTATATGAACCGTGAGAAACGATTTTTAATATGGTTTTTTCTTATGTTTAAATCAAAGGGAATTATATTTAATTTTAATATGTTTTTTTTTTTATGAGAGAAATATTTAATTATGCCATTTTTTTTTTGCCATTTTTCTCAGCTTAGAAAATTATTATTATTATTATTTACTCTATATTTTGTTAATATATATACTAAGGAATTACTTTACAAAATGGATAAATTATTTAAAAATACTCCTTAATTTATCAGCATTTTTTTTGAAGTTATCCACACTTTAAAACGAAGAGCATTCAAAGTCCTTCTGGGCCACACAAAAAATGGCACCGAACAAAACCCGAGATATCACAAGAACTTTCCTTGAGCTCCCCCTCATGTTGCTGCTGGAAGCTGGGAAATTCTTTCGCCCTCGTTTGCAATGCCAAATAAGGGAAAAGGAAATTTTGTTTCAAATTGAAAGCATCTCCATGGCGACAACATTAATTCGCTTTTAATATAATGAAGCCACTTAAATGCCAGGACAATGAATCAGGAAGCTAAAAGATGGAAGCTGAAGAGGCTGAGGCGGAGGCGGAGGCAAAGCCAGAAACATCAATCAAAATTTTCATGAGGAGGGTACGAAAAACTATAATAAAATCATTAGTCTGGTAATCCCCAAACGTTTCCGAATCAAAATAAAATCATCAGCCTGGAATGATGATGAATGGTGCGGTAGTGCCTCGTCTCGGCATTTGCCCTGCCTACACAGACCCGACCCCCCCAGTGGCCACCGGCAGCAGTCATGACAAAAATAGGAATCTTTCTGCACTCCAATCTCTTTTTAATAAA